TCTGTACATGTAGTATATTAGGACAGCAGTTGTACATGTAAAAGTATACATCAGGAATAGTGTGAACGCAGGAAGAGAGTGTTGAAAGGTGTACTGTGTGTACTGTTGTCTTTCACCTTCGTGGCTGCCTTTTGTGGCTTACTTTTGCTGTTCGACACTGTAACATTACGCTCGATTGGGCCAATTTCGCTACTCTAGGACTATTACACTGTAGTTAGTCGTCTAGTAGCATAGCCAATTAAAATACAGGATTTGCATCAGTCCACTAGTTCGGTGATACTAGTGGAAATTATACCAATGTAAAATGTAGGCTACAAAATGGGTGATAAACAAAGTAACTTTACCTTTGCCTTAGAATAAAATCAAGAAAGTTCATACTTGTAATCTACAAATTTAACTTACATCAGACCCATCTACTCCAGGTAATCCAGGAGGGCCTGACTGCCCAGGCTTCCCCTACAAGATGCAATTACCAGTTTTTAGTTATTGGACGATTAAGACTTCTAAACCTGCTCAGAAGTTTTTAGGACAAAGTGAAAACCATTATAATGGGAATAATAATTATAACAAAACAACAGCTTAATATGGAATGAATATTTGTGCATGAGTTTGAAAAAGATAATTAAGATAACTAACTTCTGTAAATGAGCTTCTATTTAACTCAATTATAACCAGAGGCAGCGTATCGGTGCCAGTGTGGCCGAGTGGTTAGGGCGCCACACTTGAAATTTGGAGGTCACGGGTTCAAATCCCATTCTGACCACTAAGCTGGAATTGTTTCTCGGTAGACCCTAGTTCAACTCCTCGGCCATGCTTGCAAATAGCCAGCTAGCCCGCCTCCCGCCAGCTGGGACTTTTAAGCCAATTATGTTTAGTTGATGTATTTGTTTCATCTAGTTTACGTGGCCTGCCTGTGAGCTAACTAGGTGTAGCTAAGCGCATTGACCACTATAAACAACTACATTTGAACATTTTTGAACACAGAATTTTCGAACCTCATAATTAAATACTTACTGGTGGTCCTGCTTCACCAGATCGTCCTAGTGATCCGCGGATACCAGGTGTTCCCTGACAGTCAACAACACATACCGGTTAAATTTGCATTCAATGGTAATGTTATAATCTAAAGAGGGAAAAGCTACAGTACCACTACCACATCTCATCTCATTCCTCTCAAGATGAGAATCTTGTTCCTCGAGATGGGAGCCTTGTCTGAAAAATGTACCAGTGAAAAACATATTTTGGAATAAATTACAAGCAGTCAGCTTGCTCGGGATGTGGTGAAGTTATCTGCAAAACAGCTTCCATAGGACTTGCCTGTACCATGATGAATATGAACCATCAAGTAACACATCTTTAAATACTTACAGGTGGTCCACGCTTGCCAGGATTTCCTGGAGGACCTCTTGCTCCCTAAAAGAAAAACATTCTGTGAGATAAAGTACATCTAGTCTTGTATAATACCAGTGAAAGTATATAACCATTGTAATTATTTTGTTACCAAAGAACAAACACATAGGTATAGCTAAGACATTTTCATATGTCTATGAAGCACTTTTTGTAATTAATGCCAAAAACATCATCTCAGTGTTCTCCATAAGCACAACCGACCAGCGAAAATCCCTGCCTGGTTGAGCTGGGTGCGCCAGCCACTCCTGAGAATTTTCAAGATACAGTTTCCAGAAGAAACAATGTTAAAGTGCCTATCAAATAAAAAATAATTGCTGCTTATTTGAAAGGCTTTTCAAAGTAAAGAAGAATGGCGTTTTCCTTTTTGGAATATCTTTTTTGATGTTAGAGGTAATAACGTTTTTGTATTATGCAAATGAGGAAAGTGATGATGTTTTAGGTGGTTCCACTAAAACAGCACAACACTTGATCGAGAATAACTCTTACAAATATTAAAGGCACTTAAAAGTTTTATTAGTCTAATTTGTTACCTTTTCATTACTTCTCCAAACTAAAAAGGGCAAGTTCTCTTACACTTCGTTTGTTTCCTCCAAACTTCTTGTATGCATCATAACTCCAATTAAGTGTACAGTATATCGTTTGTTAATTTGTTAAATAATGTTATGTCTGTTTGCATGTGTTTTATTTTGTCTTACCGCTGCACCCTGGTTTCCTTTGATGCCACCAGCACTTTCAGGATCTGGTCCTTTCACACCACTCTGAAAATATTCATAATCACTAATTTAACACACTATTTCATATTTTTTTATTCATGATACACATGGGAGATTATATATGAATCCAAATTTGCCCGTTAAGATATTAATAAAAAAAGGAAGCTTCCATTTAGGGCAGCGATCTTACAAACTGTCATTCTAGCAAATCTTACTTAGAACTCACGACAAGTTATTCTCTGGGAGTTCCATACTATGGATCACTCAAATTGCTAGGATAGACAATAAATTCTCACAATATCTCTTTTTGCCCAGCCTAAAAGAAATACTAGGTGTGGAAAGACCCCCCCCCTCAGAAGTAGTAATTTTTCTAGATGCTTAAACTACATGCATACATGCATACAAACTTTATTTGTCATGTAGGTAAATACAATTTCATTTCAAGACCAACTGGAACCATCAAGCAACTTCTAGGGTAGATCAAATTTTACTCCATGCCAAGGGCATATTTGACCATATTTTAAAGTAGCAATATCATTTCATCTTAAGTAATCCTGTAAAGACACGGCTGTAACCTGTACCAGCTGTCATGGCTGAGCATCCTTGATGAACCCTTGATGTTATGGGTGAGCTTTCCTGTTTTTGAAAAATTTCCCCCAAAAGTAACAAGTGTTTGCTCAGTTTGTCATGGGTGTGAAGACCAAGGCAATGGGTGCTTAAAAACTTAATGACAGCCCTGAAAGTAACAAAGAGCTGCTTCTGTGGAAGCTTACCGTCAGTCCACCAACGCCACCCCCAGGAGGGCCGGCTGCACCTTGAAGTCCTGGTTCACCAGGGTCACCTCTAGGGCCTGGGTTCCCTGTGGCACCCTACAAAGCAAGTCAGAGCGATAAGCAAGAACAAACACAAGAGCTCTCTTAAGGGGGCTCTGTCGTAAGTATGATGACAAAAATTGAAAACCTCAAGGCATTCATTAAATAAATGGAATCCTAAATATAATGGTCCAGTTTCCATTTGGTTTGAAAATATTTGCCTGAAGCGTTTAAAAGGGCGATTTAATGGATTAGGCATATACAAGGTTATGATGTCAAATTAAAAGATCCCAGCAGACTTTTTTCAGTTGTCACGTATAATTTTATGTTGGAAAAATTGCTTAAAACTAATGCAATTTCCTTGCCGATCAACAATTCATTTCACTTCTCGGTGTTCCAGCAGCATTCTGTGTACAAGTGAAGGTACATGTATTCAGCACTCCTTTAACCAAAAATTAAAGAAATTGCTGTAATAATGTCCCTCTATCACACAATTATCTCTTAACTGAGCCTCTGAGATAAGAATATTATTCTTCCTTTGTGTCAATACATACCGGGTATCCCTGTGGTCCTTGCGCTCCCTGTGCTCCTGGCTCACCACGATCACCCTGACAAGACAAAATTCATAAGACTGGTGGTACACCAAAAAATAACTTATTTAACTATGAGCTTATTGCCTATATGAGAGGGCCAGGCAGAAAATATATTTTTCCACCCCACAGAATAAGTGTAAGTGTAAGTCTGTGCAAAATGAAGGACATTCAAAAACTTTTCTGTCTGGCCCCAACCCAACCCAGTAATACACATGTTGATATTTCAAAACACCATATTTAAGGCACTGGAATTTGTTCTGATTTACTCTTGCAAAATGGAATGGCGGTGTGTCCAGGCTGGACAGCTTTCCCAGAACCCGTCTGGCCCCACATGCTGTACCTTGCAGTTTTATTTTCAACAGGACTGCATCGCTGGGGTTATATGGTGGTATGATCATGTAACAGAAGTTATTAAATATTAAATGATGTGCTCCCAACTGTTCTATGGCTCATTCTGTAGAGATTCTGCAAGGTTCAGCAGTTCACATCACCTTAAACCCTGCATAATGTTACTGGGCTGCTTACTAAGTTGTTTCACAAATGCAAGGATATATTGTTCTGACTTGCATTTCTGTCACAACTTTATTTCCTTTTTCCTCAGTGAAGCAAACTGATGGCAAAAGAAAGCAGAATTTACGAATTACAGTGTTGGAAATTAGTGCTTGCCCTCCCACTCGCCAATGCAAATGTGAAAAGTGTAGCTTTAGCAAGTACAAATCATTGATCCTCCCGCATTTGGCACGTACAAATTTCATTTTTGGGAAATTATTTAAATTAAATATTGATAGCATTCCTTTTTATTTGCGCTTTTGGCAAGAATATCTCTAAAAGTAAACTTACAAGTGTTCTTTTGACGTGCTTTTAATTGTCTAACATAATTTAGTCTTTCATAAAACTATGGACAAAATGAGATACCTCTTCCTTGTGGTGGCAATGTGCATATCAGTTACATGTGTATGTAGCGATACTGCTGGTCTGTAGTTAAGCCGGCAGTAATTAGTGCATTATCATGCCTACAAGGTGTTTACTCCCATTTACTGTAATGTCTTGATTCTAGGGATGTATGCAAATTTGGTAGTGCCAGCTGTTCCTTAGCTGTTTTACAGTTAAAACTGTTGAAATGAGGAAACATTTCCAAGGAGAGTCAAAAGTTGATACTAAAAACCAGGATAAGACAGTAAAATTGGTCCACAATCCTAAGCAGACATCTCGTAAATGGACCAGAACAAGAACGCCAACACAAAATGACAAGCTTGGTGTCCATGATGACGAGAT